GACAGAGACGAAGAAAAGAGGAGAGAGAGAGAAAGAGAAAGAGGAAAGCGGAGGTCGGACGAAGCAAATGCGCGCTGCAAGGAGAGAGGGACAGAGGGATGCGCCGTTCTGTCCTGTGGGCTGCAAACGTAATTTGCTCTCTGGATATGCAGTCCCAGCGGTTCTCACCGTGGCTGGTAATAACGCTGCCTGTCACACCGCAATATTTGATATTTTGCTTTTTGTGCGTGGAACGGGATTGTCAAAATTTTCCCCCTTTGTGTCGATAGAAATTCGGGGTAATTGAACGCGCGTACGTGCCGCGAGACACTTGGATTAATAGAGAGAAAAGAACGCCTCGGGCTCTAGCCAAACGTTACAATCTTTTGCGTTCGACGTGCGTGCGTTAATTGTCGCGTATTATTCGGTCTGCTGAGAAATCTTGCTCGAGACAACTCGCTGGAAAGCATCTCTCGAAGGTGAGGCCGTGCACGAGCCAACGGACCTTCGCACAGCGTGCACCTCACTTGTGCGCCCGTTGTACACAACGGATTAGGCGGTAGTAATCCGCAAGATCCGACCTCAAAGAGCGCCACCCGCTGCGAGTTTTCCCAAAACCTGTCGTGAAATCCGTCTGACCGCTTTATAATGGAAGAAAACGGCTACTGTGGCCTACCAAACAAGCTCTCGTGGTCGAATCGACAAGATCCCGTGAGTTTCGCGGTAGGGCTCGCTCCAGAAACGGGAACTGCATCCCGGAGTCTCGTCTTTTATTCCGCGCTCTGTCTCGATTCGCACCTCGAGAGGCGAATCTTTACGAGAGAAAAAAGTGGGAGGGGCGTGAGAGACGCGGAGAAGCCGAGGAGAATGGAAGATCTCTCGAGAGGGAAAATTGGAGCGGATTTTCGAGCTTGAGCCGCCGAAACACAAAATTAGACTTATCTCGATCATCGCGGATCCGTGCGGACAGCTGCGCTCGCGGTAGTTTCAAGAATGAACACGAAGAGCGGTCCTTCCTTTGTGGCTCGTCGCTCCGAGCACTCGCGTCAGATTTGCAAACAGTTGGAGAGAAGCGTGCATTCGAGGTCACGACGTTGCTCCTTTCGACGGCCGGACACGCGCCATTGTGAACAACCGATAGGAGCCGATGGCGGATCTAAGGACACGCCACAATGACATAGTCGAGGAATATCAAATGGGAAAATCTGGACACACAGAAGCCGAATTTACGGTAATTTCGGTACGATCCGCTTCCGATGGACCGAGGATGATAGGAGAAGAATAGCGAGTTTTTATACAATTTGAAACGTCGCTTTGACGTGGTGTCGAGTATCTTTTATTCTGAAGAATGCAGCGTATTCATGCAGACGAGATTTCTTTCGACGGCATGAGAATATCAAGTAATCACTTGACTTAATTGCTCAATAATTGCCGCGTAATTTATTTTAAAAAATTCGAATAACTATGCGATTATAAAAAAAAATTAAGAAAGAAATTTATTAATTTTCTTAAATAAAATTATATTTAATTATAATTCATAAAAAACATTAATCTTACGTACAAAAATTTTCCTTTATTTAGACGTTATATTTTAATGAAAAGATATTTCTTTTTTCTTTTTTCTTAATATGTATTATTTTTATTTCAAATTATAATTTTTCACATTTTCCATTTTCTTAGATTATATCTCTGAGATATATATGTATGCTAGAAAAAAGTTATCGATATTCAGATTAGGATATCGTAATAAATTATGTGGATATGTTTCAAAATTTAAAATAATGTTAAAATACGAACTACATCAATTTGAATTAATATTAATATATAATTAGATGTTATCAGTTTTCCTTGCATCCACTGTCAAAATATTACGTCTTGCTTTTCAGATCTCAATAATTGACAGTTTTTCGTACCTCTCCGTAACGTGAAATTATACGCACCGTAGCTCCCGTTTCTTCTAAAAAAATCGTTAGTCAGCCGTCAGTCCTTCGGTTAAGTCGAAACATTTAACGGACGGGAGCAGCTACCTGGCTTTACCTTGGGATCTCTTAAGAGTTCACTGGGAGATCGCTGTCTTTTTCTTTGTCAGGAAAATTAGCTAAAACTAGAGCTAAGTGCACCGGGGAAGCGGAGCCGGGATAGAACGGCCACGGAATAAACGCGTCGATCTAACACGGACCGATCCCTCGCTCCTTCTGTCGAGATATTTATCGCGGTAAGTGGGATCCGGTTAAATGCAACTCGTGATCTGATTTCTGCGGGACCTAAAAGCTTCGCTCGGCCCGCCTGACCGGCCCCACGAGGGCCGCGAGCCAGATTCGTAACGGAGATTGAGCGCCGATGAAAATGATGGCATTGTTGAAATTGTTCGCGGGATATTCGCGCGCGTGTGTTAACACAATGCGCCGAGAAAGCACGTGGGAATATCGCCTTCGCGCAATCTTTCAAACGTGAGATGAATAGACGTATTGCTATAATTAATGAAACTGATCTTGACTTGCTGATTCTCAATTTTCTCTTTCTTGTCTGTTGCTCGATTTTTGAAAAAACTATTTAAAAAGCGTCATCAACTTTGTATCGGCATTGATAAATTAAGTTCTTAATTTTTTTAAAGCGAGACTATGACTAGTAAGATATGACTAGAAAAGACGACAAGATTTCGATACGTTGATTACAATTTGTAACGAATTAGGAAGTTAGAAGAATAGGTAGCTAATTTCGATCAATATTAATAATTGTGACTAGCATAATGATGAATAGATTTTAATGTAAAGCTATACTAGCAAATAAATCTGTAAATTGTGTAATATATATATTTTTCTTCCAATTTAACTTATTACAAATTAGATAATTTAATAAAATTGATCAAATTTAAAACTATAATATAATTTTTATTTTCAAAAGTCACTTTATTATAATAATTCCAAGATAAAAAAAGAGTTACTTTTCTTCTTGCTATTTACTAAATACAAATAGAGAAAAATATAGATTTTGTTAAAGAGAGACACAGTCAGATAGAGAAAGAAGAGAAAGCAGAAAAAAGTTTTTACCTTTACTTCCCAGATGATTAAAGTTTTTATATTTTTTTACTGTAAGTTGTTATTTTGCAAGTTATTATTTTTTCTAAAGCCACACGTGATCGTAAACACGTGAACGATGAGTAAACGCAATATCGATACCGTCATCGTTATGATTCATCCTTGCACCGAGCGTGGTCCTTTTTCGCGAGGTGCAATGCATACATGCAGAATTCGATTACAGCGGTGGTGCATTTTCGGCGACGCAGCCAGGAGTCGCGCGCCAACGAGCACGCGGGGGTCTTTTCTATAACGGAAGAGAAAACGCGCGCGCGAGCAACTCTCGTCTCCGCAACGTATAATTTGCCTCGATTTAGTCGGATCGATTTTGAGTAGCTACTGTTTCGCTACAGGCGGATATCTTTTGTGGCGCGGTTTTGTGGGCGTACACTTCCCCCCGGGCTAAAACGCCAAATGGTAACGACGATACGCGGAATCGAACGTGGAATGGGAAACGGGGATTCGTTTTGTGCGCACGGTTTTCGGCCGGCCGCTCGAAAAAAGAAACAATTTTCAACCCGGATCCGCCATTCTGGTAACCGGAAAACGTCCACTTCTCGTCTCTTTGTCGCGAAGCTAATTTTGGGAGTTTGCGGAAGGAAATAACGGTAAAACAGAAAAAAATCGCTTCAAAACGCTGTAAAACTGTTTTCGCCAAAATAAATTCTCGTCTTATCGTACGAGCAATTTTGCAACAATATTGAATATGACCGCGGATTGGCTCAAACTTTAATAAGTAATTACACAAACAGCAATAACGTTAGATTGTAAAATTGATAAGAATACCATTGGCTCTGATAATAATCGCGGATCTACAAACACGATATTTGTTTTTAAACGAGAGAATTTATTTGAACTTGTGACATTTCTGTGAGTGGCATAGGAATTGTATGCACATGTATAACGCTATAATATACACATAAATCATCAATATAAATGTATGATATTACGTAAATGTACTAACACTTTGACCACAGCCAATAGAATAAACGAGGCTTTATTTTATTCATTTTATTGTATCGCACTAAATTTTAAATGATGTTCATGTTACGTAGGAATAATATTTTTGTATGTTAATTTATCCTTTTTAGTTGCGAAATAAATACCTTGCTCTGTCGGAAAAATCATTTCGAACGCGGTGAATCTCTCGGGCTTCCTTAAAACTCGCAAAAACTTCGATAAAACGTCAGGTTTCTAATGTCATAGATAAACATTGATTTTCATGTGCCAACATCAAAAGTTAAATTCATCAAATTTGCAATTTACATCAGTTTTAATCTGCGGACAGAAACGAATCACTACGAGCCGAATAAACGACCGTCTCGATGCAGGTAGGTGCATAGATGAATCGCAGACAAAAGCGGCGCGTAAGGTCCCGCGGATCCGCGGGGCATCCAGAAGCGTAGGAGGCTTGGCGTAAGCGGTAAGCTTTACCTCATTTCTGGCAATTACAGGGGATGCCAGAATCCGCCGCAAGAATCAACCCACTCCGGCCGCGTGTGTGTACCATCCACCTCTGTTTAGGTGAACCACCCCTTCGCGGTGCGCGTGTGCGCGCGGGACTCGTTCGTCCTGTGTTCGTCTCTTACACGTACACGCTCGTACACACGCAGGGACAGGCGCGCACACAACAGCACCCTCGTGACGCTCACACGTACACCTTGGTGGGAACGAGACGCGCGTACGGCGTCATGGGAGTCCGTCCGCTCCCCTCAACCCCTGCGGCTACCCCGTCCAAGAGAGAGGGTTACCTCTGAAACCCAGTCGGTTGAGCACCACTGATCTCGCCATGTTCCTGGATCCTTGCCGCGATTGGTTGCGAGTCCGACGAACGGCAGTGCCGATTCGTCGGTCTAGGCCACGCCTCCGCGCGGCTCATGCCCGGACCACCTCTTTCACCGGCGAGTAGTCTTCGGGAGTACAGTTGTGTACAGCTGCAACAAAGGCTACCCCGGTAGACGACGGCCGGCTAGTCCTCGTTGGCACGACGCACGCTCAAGAGCTTCGACCTTAACGGTAAAGGTTCCATCTAGCCATCTGGCGCCTGCGATAGTGAATGAGCGAGGACGAAGTCGGACGTCTTGTCAAGAAATTGGAGGATACGCTTCCTTCCGCAATCGATTTAACTTTTACTGAGCTAAGTAGGTGATCGCGGTGGATGCGGATCATTCGACGAATCGTTGAAAGACTTTGGACAATAATCTGGTGTTAGTAAACAATAGCGAAAGAGTATTACTCTTGAGTACTAACAGGTATGGGTGATGAACATTTGGAAACATTTCGATGAACGAATATTCGACGAACGAACTCTTATTGTTGCTTGAATGACTGCTAGAAGAGACAGATCAGTTCCGTGTTAATAGAAAATGTTGATAAAAGTGCCATGCTCTGTACCATGACTTGTGAAGAGGTGACATGTGACTATGAAAACTTATTACAAAATTTAACTTCGTATATTGAATGAGTTTCGTCCAGTTTTAACACGTCCAGATTAAACACTGGGGTAAATATGATCTTATTAGTCGATTGACAGACAAACATTTCGGCAGCTAAGAGAGATCTATGGGAAACTGAAATTAGATGTCTGAAGATACATGAGTTATATAAACGTACGTTGCTCTGGAACTGACATACTTCTCAAACAGTGCATGATGTTACCCGAAATACATTTCACGATGAAGGACACGTGTGCCAAAGAGTTTTGTCGTGCAATTTTAGAGCTTTAGTGTATCCGCATCTGCACTCGCGAGATTTTTAACCGGCGAAGGTGGTGATCCAACTCGAAACAGTCTTCGGGAAGAGTCCAGCGAACGAGTTTCCGACAATGGATTCTCAGCAACTCGTCGACACGGCCTCGCAGAATAGTCAGGACATCGTTTTACCGAAACCGGCCAGCAGTACGCCACGACACAGCATCGACGCGATCCTCGGATTGGCTAGCCATAAAAGGACTCATCAAGAAATGGAGGACACCAACACGCAGGAAAATACCGGTACCAATTCCTCTTATAATCTCATTACATAAGATTAGAGTAATATCCCCCCCAAAATTATTTTTACACTTCTCTAGAAATAATCCTTACAAGGGGAATACCTTTACGAAGGAATCGAAATTAAGAATCTAATTTAAGTTTTTATTTTTCGCTTTCGAAATTTAAAAATAATAATAGCTTTTTCTTTTAGTATTCTGACGTTTAATATTTCCAAGTTAGCGAAGAATTGAACGTTGATTAAACTGAAACATTGACATATTGAAAACGTCCTTGTGATTTGTCAAAATTCAAAACAAAACTAGGGTAATGTTACATATATTCGCGATTCGCTTAGACCGCTCAGCTAATCTAATACAAATACAGCTTTTTTTTCTTAACAGTTTCTCTATCAAAATTCGCAAAAGATTTCGTCGCTTTCTCGGGCCGTCGGATTGATGCACGCAGAAGTTAGTTCTCATATTAGCTTTAGGAAACCCTTCTCCTCAAGAGGCATGCAAAGCATCTCGATTTCTAAATTATAAAACGCCTTACGCTTCTGAAATCCGTTACAAATGATTTCGAAATCCATTAGCGATGTAGCTTCGGTTGTCCGTCCCATCCAATTACTTTCCTTCGCTACTATCCGTCTATGGTTTATTAGTCGCTATCACATCATTAATCACCTATTCATTATCGTGTTCGGCTGTTAATTAAAAACTTGTTATATAGTTCACAATCTGTTTATTAATTGTTAATTAAATCACTAGTTTTCAATTTCTCTTTTTACAATTAGATATCGAAAATCGCTCAATTTTAAGAATGAATGTTTCAAAGTAACGTTCAGCCGGATGTATTCAGATATCAACTTGTGGTATCACTGCCCCAAAACAAAAAATCAATAGCGCCCGTTAATAGCGTAATTGATAGAAAACCTAATTGAATTTCGGCTGACAGCCGCGTGTAGTTTTCCACGGGGTCCGATCATTTTTTCGCATTTACGGACTAATTCGATTAGCAGACTAAACTGTTCCGCTGTGCGTCTGTTGAATCTTGCATCCTGCCGGACAGACGCACGATCAAGCGCCGCGAGTTCGCTTTGCTATCCTGTCTGGCAGTTGCGTTACGGGCCAGTAATGCAGTTTGATCGAGTTTCGATTAATTATCGCCGGGGTCACGTTTGACCGATGTACATTTCCTCTGTATTCCAAGGATAAAATTTAAGAAAAATAATGAAGAAGTGTACGTAACGGAATCAGGGAATGATTTGGACGCACAAATAAGTGGCGCAATGCAATAATTGTTCAATAATGAAATTAACAGCGATTATCAATATATCACAAAGCAATGAAAATTAAATCATTATTAGAATATTACTGTGAAATACCAGTTATTGACCTTAACATTGAAAAATCATTGCGCTGCTTCATTCAACTAATTGTAAGCGCATGTGCTATATTTTTTCTGATATATACAATATAAAAGTAGAAAAGTTTTGCATTGGAAAGTTTTACAGTTTTCTCTTTGTGAGATTAAATTTATTTCCACTAACTGGTTTTCTCACAGGCGCAAGAGTAAAAGAAGATTAATAATTACACGTTATTTTTTCGAATCAAAATAAAACAAAATTGTAATACGGCATTTACATATGTATATGTCTTACGATTGACGAAAGTTGTAACCCAATGAAATAACGAGTAACAGCATAGATAGGTACATGTAGATCTAGATAATAATTATGTTCGTTGCGTGATTTTCCACCGTACTGATGTAATCAATTTACCGCACACTACTTCTTCACCTTCTCACGATACATTTATGCGTCGCATTATTTAATTTGCGTAGTATTTTCCGCAACTGGTAAAGATTTATTCTAACAATGCAGCCGCTACTTTATTTTAATTACATTAAAATAATTCGTGTTTATACCACTTCATCATATGTTCATAAACCACATATCAATGATTAATGGTTTACACGTTTCCAAAGACACCTAATCGCGATGATATTAATCGTCGCGATCAATGAATAATATACGTTTAAATTCGAGCCATAAATATAATGAAACTCTATGTATTTCGTAATTATTATTCCATTTAGTGCTGAAATAATCATGTCTTATAAGAAGACAGAAAAGAGAGAGGGAAACTTTTATAAAATAATTAAATTCAAAATAAAGACAATATGTTTGTCTGTCTAAATTATAACGAGATGATTATCTTTCGATAAAATCCTAGATTATAAACGACACGACACGATACAGATAAAAATAAAGTTAAAATTAAATTCATCAACGCGCAATTGCCTAACAACAATTAAAATAGATAAATTATAATTATTTTTATTTTATTAAAATGTATAAAGTTTAGAAAACCACGAATAACGTATTGTCTAAAGTCCAATCACATTCTAAAGATATACACTTAGGTCTTGGCGTCAATTTCCTGCACGGAACCAATCCTACACCTGTCGTGTACGTGTGATTCCACGCCACACGGCGGGAGCAGCGTTCGGCATGGGCGTCTCGTCGGTAGCGTTAGCGTATAATTGGAAAATCGTTAGTATCGCGACGCGGATCTCGTTCTCTAAACTAGGCGGACACGCTAATTCAGCGTCGAAACCGAATCGAGCGATCGAACCGACCCGGAGCGGTCGGAGGTAGAGCGTGTGCCTCCCCGCTCGGTGAAACGTATATCCGATAATTCCTGTTTCGAGACACTTTCGTCTCGGCTCGCCTACGCTGCCCACGAACTGTCGTTCGTGTCATTCTGAAAGTGCGCGCACACACAACGGGGGCGAGAGCGCGAGTTATCGACGCAACACTTTCGGCGGAAGGGTCGGAATCGACAAAACAATTTTGTGCCGGCGCTACCATTATTGGTACGGTGCTCGGACGAAAAAAATGGGCAAACAGCTATCGGATATTATCGCCGTAAGTGATATAAATTAGCGTCATCGTCAGAGAGTCACATTCGTGACCAAGAGCACGCGGATCGATTGTTGCGATGCTTAATTTTCAACGAAGCGTTATATTGTTTCTCACGATAACAATAGCCTTCCATTCTGACTAACAATGGCATAAATATCATAGGACGAACTATCGAAACGCTTATCGCGTATTAATCGATCGCAAATTGCTAGCTTATGAACTTACTTTGAAAAATTTTAGGAAGTAAAAAAGAGACTGAAATATATTGACGTGGTGCTTATTCATTTTTACATCAAGCCCTAACATGATCAAGGCCAAAAAGCTGTCCTTTTAACATAACTCCAGTTTGTTTATGATTAATTTATAAAATATTTTATGTGTAAAAGAACTCATATCGTTCGCGATATATTTTAATGTAACTGCATTAAGAATATATTTCGGTAAAAGTACTAATTGCGATTAATTGTACAAAATATAATAAGAATAGTTCAACGAATATCATATTGCAACGTTGGTCAATAAAAAGATTATTGTTGCGTTTTCTGGGGCACATATTTCTATTTAGAAAAGAATTTTTCATTCAATTTCATGAATCAAATAACTCATAATCTTATCGGAAGTGAAAACGTTGATAGAAGAAATTACATCGAGTTGGAGAATAAACACATATAGAATAAAGTCATTCTTATCTGTTTCCAAACTATAACAAGCCTGAATAACCCTGTCAAGCTTAATATGTTCGACGTAGGATTAATTGTCGGCGTTTATTCCCGAGGATTTACGTTAATCGTTTTCGAAGGAAATTATGAAGAGGCCAGGTGGACCAACCGCGAGAGAAATGTGCTGAGAAAAAGACGGAGGCTGCTTAGCCGAGACCCAATCTTGTCCCGCTAATCGAATTATCATTAATTATGATACCGTACGCGCGAGAAGAAAGAAGAGGTAAAAGGCGAGAGCCAACTCGCCACTAATAAGTATGAAGGAGAGCAGAGGAAACGACGAGGAAGACAGAAAAAAAGAGAGAAAAATGGGGGGAAGAGAAGAGATAGGTGGAAGCGGCTTTAAGTCGCTTCTTAAGAGGTGAATTGACGTGCCTACTAATGGATCGTGCCTGCCTCGTCTTCTTTCCTCCCCGCGCTTCTTCCACCATCACCTCTTCTATCGCTCTTGTAGTTTTAACACGGGGACTAACAGGTCTGTTATCTTCAGCGGGAATCGGTCGTCTACCGTGCGGCCGCGATTGATCGAAATTAACTCGGTGGAATAACGAATGACCATTGTCGCGACGTGCACGACGAACGCGATACGCGTTATTTGTACACGTGTCACCGTGCTACGTTGCGAATTTGGTATTTGTCAGTCTCCCGTTTTAGCTTCCGATCTCCCGAAATAAAGTCAAATCGCGTTAAGCATAAATTACTGCTGAAGTTAGACGGTGAAGCGATCGATTTATTGATGCAAGATGATTGATGCCGTATTATCCTCGTATGCGCTGTACAAGGAGCTTTACAATTGCTCCCTTTTTGTATCTAACTTATAGAGAAAATAGTTAATATGGCAATATATAAATAATATTTAGCAAATAATTGTCTTTTATAGAATCGATAACACAGCTGAAAAAGCTTGGAACTGATGTTCTCAATAAATATCTCATGACTTTTTCATAAAGTTCACTTGTATTTTCATTTATTTTAAATTTATTAAATTTTGCACATCTTTTTTATTTTCGATAAACGTATCACACTATTCCCATATGCAACTTATGTTTTTAAAATAAAGATTAATGTATATATTATTTACACCGATACTGTTAATAAAATTTTACTGTTAATCAAATATCACGCGCGCGAGACAGAGAGGTTCTTTTCTTTTTATCAATCGGAGTGCTCACTGTTCGTGAATAATTCTTCGCTTTTACGTGTAATTCATCGTAATCATTAATATTGTCGTATTGGAAAGATATATTGCAACTTGCGCTTATTGCCCCGACCGATGAAAAGGATAGAAAGCGTAAGATGGATAATGGCGAGATAAGCCGATTAAACAACGTGTATTAGTCAAACAAATGTGAAATCGCTTTCAGTACGCGAGATCA